CATTTGTGGGCTCTCTGTATTATTTCTTGTTCCACTGGTGTTCTGTTCAGAAAGCCCTTGCCTATGTCAATAGTTGTATCTATTTTCTCTTCCAGGAGACTGTTTCTCTTTTAACATTTATATTTTTGATCCATTTTTATTTTGGTGATATATATGGGCCTAGACCAAATCGTCTGTATGTGGATACTGAATTTTACCAGCACTATTTATTAAAGAGGCTCCCCTTCCTCCAATGTGCTTTTAGATCCTTTGTCAAAAATCAAGTATGTGCCTCTGATTGTTTCTGCCACTCCTATTCTGCTCTGCTCCATTGATCCATACGGCTGTTTTTTGTGAAAGTATTATGCTGTATTCTCTTATTTTTAATTAAAATTTTTGGTACAATTTAGTTATACATAATAATCATATTCATTGTATGGAATTTGTATCTGTAGGTGATATATTTTAATTTACTTTTGTCCATTTCCCTCCCCTCCCTTCAACCCTTTTTCCCCTCCTCTTTTACAAAAGCTTTATTTCTATTTTTAATTTTTTTTTTTTTTTATGGTACCAGGGCTCAAACTCGGGACCTTGCACTTGTGAGGAAGGCAGAGGAACCACTGAGCTAAACCCTTGGCCTATTTCTATTTTATCTTTCCTATCTCACTTTTTCCCTTTTTCCCTTTTCTTTCTTCCTTTCCGTCTTCCCCCTCCCCAATTCCCCTTCCTATTTGAACTTTGTGTTCCTATTTCACATTTTCTGTAATACCATGCTGTATTAATCACTGTAGCTTTGGAGTATAATTTTAAGTCTAGGATTGTGATGTCACTATCTTCGCTTTTGTTACCCTCAACTGCTTTGTTATTCTGTATCTCTTTTGATACTATACAAATTTTGGGATAGTTTTCTCAAACTCTGTGAGAAATGATGCTAGTATTTTGAGTGGGATTGCATTAAATCTGTGTATCAGTTTTGAAAGTATAGCCATTTTAATTATGCCTATCAAGGAATGGGGATATTCCCTTTTCTGATGTTTTCCTTGATTTGATTTTTCAATCTGATATAATTCTCAGTGTAGCATTTTTTTACTTGCCACTTCCCATAGTTGGGTTAATACCTAAGTATTTAATTTTTTCTGGTGTTACTGTGATGGCATTGTTTTCCTAATTTCTCTTACAGTGGGTTCAGCATTAATGTACAGGAATTCTATTAATTGTTCTGTGTTTATTTTGTGTCCTGCTTAATGTGGTTATCAATTCTAGGGGTCTTTTGGAGAACTTCAGGTATTGTAAGTAATTCTTCAGATAATGGTATTTTGACTTTATCCTTTCCTGTACACATCTGTTTTACTTCTTTCTCCTGCTTGATTGTTCTGCCTAATGTTTTGAGGACCGTATTGAACAGAAGTAATGGGAATGGACATTCTTATCTTGTTGCTGATTTTAGAGGAAGGCTTTCAGCTTTAATATGATGTCAGTAGGCTTGCCATAAATGGCTTTTATCATGTTGAGATAAGGACCTTCTATTCCTATTTCCTTCATGTTTTGGTTTTTTTTTTTAAATCATGAATGGATGTTAGTTTTGTCAAAGGATTTTTCTGCAGTTTTTAAGATGATCATGTGATTTTTGTCTTTGTTTTTCTTTATGTGATAATTGCATTTATTGATTTGCATGTGTTGAACCATCCTTGCTTTCCTGGGATGAAGCCTACTTGGTCACGGTATATGGTCTTCTTGATGATTTATCAACATTTTGTTTGCCAATATCTTGTTAAGGATTTTTGCTTCTATGTTCATTAAAGAAATAAACATATAGTTCTCTTTTTTTGGTTGGATACTTGTCTGCTTTGAGGATGAAGATAATGTTAGCCTCTGAGAATGATTTTGAAAGTATTCCCTCCCTTTCTATTTTATTAAAAGATTTGAAAAGCGCTCATGTTAGATATTCCCTGAAGTTCTTGTAGAATGTAGTTATGAATCCAAATCAGGTCCCAAGCTTTTCTTAGTTGATAGGGTTTTTATTATTATTATTGTTACTGCTTGAAGTTTATTGACTGTTATTGGATTTTTTGAAATTTTTTAATACTTCTTGGTTCAGTTTTGGCAGTTCATATATATCTAGGAATCTCTCCATATCTTCTGAGTTCTTTAACTGATTGGCATGTATGTTGGTGAGGTAGTTGCTAATAATTTTCTGGATTTAAACAGTGTCCATTGCAGTTTCACCTGTACCATTTTAAATTGCATTAATTTGTATATTTCCTCTTTTTTTTGTAAGAGTGCTAAGGGTTTGTCTATTTTATTTATTCTTTGAAAAAACCAGCTCTTCAATTTATCGATTCTTTGTACTATGTTGTAGTGTCCATTTCATTAATTTCTGCTCTGATCTTTATATTTTCTTTTCTTGTACAAACTCTAAGTTTGGATTCCTCTTCCTTTTCTAAGACCTTGAGATACATCATTTAGTTATTTATTTGGGCTCATTCTATTTTTCTGATATGAGCATTCACTGCTATAAACTTCCCTTGTAGGACTGCTTTCACTGTGTTCCATAAATTCTGGTATGTTGGCCAGGCATTATCATTTAATTCTATGAATTGTCTTATTTTTTTCTTAATTTCCTCTGTGACCCACTGATTATTCAAAAGTACATTAAGTTGTATATGTTTAAATAGTTTCTGTGGTTTCTTTTGGTATGGATTTCTAGTTTTATTGCACTATGATCTGATAACATACATGGTGAAATTTTAACTCTTCTCCATTTACTTAGGCATACTCTGTTAACTGGTGTGTAGCCTACTTTGGAAAAAATACCATGTGTGGCCAAAAAGAATCTGTATTCTGTTGTTGAGTGGATCGCTCTGTCTGTCTGTCTGTCTCTCTCTGATTTATTCAAAGTTGGGGTTCAATTTTGATATTTCTCTGTTGATTCCTCCCCTTGACTTTAAGATTTGTGTTGTGAAATCTGTTGTAATTCTGCTATGTTTTCCTTTATAGTTGATTTATTGCTTTTCTCTAGCAACCTTTATGATTCTGTTATTTTGTTGTATTTCTGGTGCTTTAAATATTATGTGACATAATGTAGTTTTTTTTCCTGCTCAATACTAGTTAGGGTTATATTCTTCACTTATCTGTATGTTAAATTCTTTTTCCATGTCTGGAAAGTTTTCTGCTATTATATGTGTCAGCAGGGTTTTTTATGTCCTTTATGCTGTCTTCTGAGTTTTTGTAAATTCCAATTTCTCTTATATTAGACCTCTTTGAGTCATCTAGGAGTTGTGGCATCCATATTTCATGTTCCCTTGTTGTTTTTGAGGCACTCTTATTAATTACTATCAACAGCCCCGTCTTCTAGATATGATACTCTGCCTTCATATTAGTCCATTCTGCCACTTACACTTTCAATTGTGTTTTTAATCTCCTAGATTTCTGCTTGGAACTTTCTTATGGACTCCCCTTCTTTACTATGCTGGAATTTCATGTTTTGCATCTCTTTCTCTAACTCCACTAGCTGTTTGTTAGTGTGTTCTCTAGACTAGACTTGCCGATCATTTATTTCATTATGTGATTAGTTATATCTTCTTTAAATTTGCCAAGCACCTTATAGGTCAGTTTTACCTCCACTAGTACCCTCTCAAATCTATTTGCCATGTAGCTCATGATTTCCTCCTCAATTTCTTCCCCGTACTGATTTTTGGGGAGGTGGGAGATTTTGGAAGCATTTTGTTGCCTTGTCTTTCCATGTTTCTGCTTTTGGTCTTTTTTTTTTTTTTTTTTTTTTTTTTTTTTTTTTGGTGCTGGGGTTTACAAATTCTTTGGTCCAGGGCCCCTATTCTTCAGGATAAAGTCACAGTATTGTTTATGGGCCCCCCGCCAGGCAATCCAGGCACTGCCATAGAGAGAAAACCAGTCACTGGCCACTACTATGTTACCTTGTCAATGGTGGCAAATTCAGTGACAATAAGTGAGATCAAGCGACAACGGGATATTGATAAGCCTGAAGAATCTGTCATGAACACCGCTGCATGGAATCAAAGTAGACTCTGATTTTAGTGAAGACAATCAGGCCCCCTTTATTGATCTACAGTAATTTTAGAGCACCGATTTCTGCTGGATTTTGGCAGCAGTACCAGAGCTCAAACATACTACTAGATTAAGTGCCTTCTTCTTCAGGACTGCCCCCTCTGCCAATTATTCCCATCAATCCTGGCCTCTCCCCAACAGCATCCAGGCCCCATGACCTTCCTAGTCTGAGGCCAGGAACCCCAAGGGATCCCAAGAGATCTCTATGTAGTTCTCACCCTCTCCACTCCCAAAGCTGTCTGTCACTCCGTCTCTGTGGTAGGGTATCTCTTCAGTCCTGAAGCTAGACTTTCCTCCTGGATGGTCTTCAAGTGGGTCAGTCTGTTGGGTGTCCATTCTGTTATACTGTGATGTAGAGAAACCAGGGACTGGAAGTGAGTGAATGCTTCATGGGTCTTCCCGGCTCCAGCAGGTGTCCACAGCCTCTTGCCACTTTCTCAATCTGTTCTAGAAGTTCTTTTTTGTGAGTATCTTTAGTTGGGCTGTCATAGCTGCTTGATGTCCTGAACTGATTTAAAATGCTTACCTTTCATGGTCATTTTGACTTTGGAGAAGTGCTGGAAGTCGCACTGTGCCAAACAGGGTGAATGAGGCAGAGAAGGACACACTGTCACGTTTTAACAAGCTTGCGGTTCACTGGATGTCACTTGGCAGCAGCATTCACTGTGTTTTTTATCACTTCTTGTAAAGATGTAAAAAAGGACTTCTAGAACTGCTTCATAAAGTGGCAAGAACAAAGGGATAAGTGTGTAGGGGGGATTACATAGGTAGATTGATGGCAATGTCTCTTTTGCTTTAATAATTTTTAAACATTCACCATATATTTTGACTGTACTGACCAAGCTCCTTTTTAGTCTAAGGCCAAGTTTACAGAACTGAGTATGTCAGAAATCAAGGCACACAGAAGAAATATTAAAAAAAAAATTTTAGCACCTTACCTGGTCCCAGGCAGAGACGGTGCCTCCAAAGCACATGAACAAGTATCCCATGGCAACAAGACATATCCATATCACCAAGGAGAACACTCGGAGCAGCTTCTTAAATGCAGACTCAATGCAGACTAGGATGAATATCGCAAAGAAAATCGCCAGGGCAGTTGGCACAGTTATTAAAAATGCCACATGATCTTCAACTTCCTGCAGAGAGCAAAAAAATATATTGAGAAGTTACAATTGAGAGACTCTGTGATACCAGTGATTTATGCTGTTGCAATGTTACAAACATCAATCAATGTCAAAGTATACAGTGTTTAAAAGAATAGTTCAAAGTAGAGCAGTAGGAACTTTCAAAAACTTAAGTTTCACATTAAAAACTGTATTTTCCTAAACACATTACTCAATACTGGTTATTCAAACTAGACAAAAGAGCTAGGCCCTCATATTGACACGTTCCCCGAGAAATGGGGTGAGGAAAGGATGTCATATAGAAGCAAATGCCAGGGAAGAAACAAACACAAGGAAACATTCAAGCTAGGAGAAAATAAAACCAACAATGTCACTGCCTGAATCAGAGGACCATAAATACTCCAGCTTTAAGGAAAGTACATCTTCCAAATGGATTTGGAGTCTTTTATTTAAAAAAAAAAAAAGTATCTCAGGTTCTAAAATGATGAGCCTTTATTTTAATGCATGGTAATTAGTGTTCTAATGGGATCCAAGGTTAATAGAAAAGGGTCAAAAGTACTAAATATAAAAAGAGAGAGTGGGGAATGCTCAAGGGAGTGGGTTTTATTTGTTTTGCTTCCTGCCCCTCTGCTGGCTCCATCAACGAAAGGAAAATGGGCATTTATTATTAGCTTCTTAATGGTGCATTTTTCTAGATTCATATTAGCACACTAATACTCATTTTGTATTTCTTTTTTTTCAACTCATAGAAGTCATTTATTGGATTACTTTTATACAAACTCTTTTATAATGTGTTGCTCTTAACTTTCTGGTCTCTTGTGATCTTAGAGCTAACAATGACATTTCAGGAAGGAACACAAGGGGGGCAGAGAGTAATTCTACAATGTGACAGAGAGATCCTATAATTTCTCTTGTCTCAGCTTCCAAGGAGCTCTCAGGACTCTATTTTTCTCTTTGTATTCCAAATGGAGACATGAATTCAGACCCTCATTTTGTATTTCTATCTGTCCAGCCACACACATGCACACAATTTCAGTTCTATGTGGTATCAGCCCCACACCACACAAGTCATTTCCTTTGATCACCCAGGCATGGTTTTAGGATGTGTCTTCTGCAATGCATTAAGGTGAGGCTGGCAATGGATCTATTCATCAGGGAATGGACCTCTCACTTTTCAAACTCTTTAATCTTTTCCCAAATGCATACAGTTACTAACACACATGCAAAGCAATGTCAGTCTCAAAACATACATGATCAGAACCACAGAAACTTCTGTTGGAGTTTTAAAATGTTAACAGCAATAATGGTGAAAACCAGGACAGTGAAGCAGCTGTCTTTTGTAGTAGAGCCAGGTGACTAACAAGATTTACTGATGAGGACAGGACCCCCCATCCCATTAGCAGCTCTGAGTTCATACCAAAGACTGACATTCAGGTCAGGATCTGCCTCCGGAACCACGAAGTGAACAATCAGGAGGGGGTGCCCAAAGGAGCTGAGTGTGAGGGCATCAGGATGGAGGGCAGCACAGTCCGTGGGATCCGAGGCCTCCTTCCTCCCATAGGCCTTTGGGATCATCCATTGCTCCCCCTGCCCTCAGAAGTGACCAAAGACACGCAGTGCCAGCCTTTGTCCCACTACCAGAGCATGCTGCCTAAAATCTCCAGAGAGAATATCTGTCTGGCACAATCCACATCCTGCAGGAAGGAGCTCATTCCAGCACACACTACAGCTAAGAGGAATTTCTAAAAGCTTCAACCATAAGTCACAACTGCTGGGCGCCTGTCAGAAGCCACAGCTGAAAAGTCAGGGGTGAAAAACCCTGCCCATTCTTCTGGTATGCAGCACACAGCCCAAGACCTGCAGGCTTTGAGTAGTACGGGTAGTGAGTAGTACTGGCTCCCGCAGCTGAGCACTTAGGGAAGAAATTTTACCTTTTTTCCAGTATTTTATTTGTGTTTATTTTTTTAACTTCTCCTTTAACCTATTTTTTTTCCAATTTTTCCCTTCCTCTTCATCTTCCTCTTCTTTTTTCTTCTCCATTACTGGGTATTGAACATAGAACCTTCACACTGAGCTACAACTCCAGCCATTTGTTTTTGTTTTTAATTTTGAGACAGAATCTTACTAGATAGCTAAGTTGCCCAGGCTAAACTTGAACTTGTGATCCTCCTGCCTCAGCATCCCAGAGTGCTGGGATGACAGGTGTGCACCACCTTGACTAGCTTCCATTTTTCTTGTTTTGGTTTCTTTTTTTCCTTAACAATTTTAATCTTTTCATTCTATTTCCCTCCTTTCTTTTCTGCTATTGTTGACTTTATTTTACCATTTGTTTTATTATTACTCTGCAGTGCTGGCCTCACTCGTGCTGGGTGAGTGCTCTCTACTGAGCTTTGACCACAACCTCATCCCACCTGAAACAGGGAAGAGACTTCCACTTTAAGAACTGAGAAAGGAAAAAACGGAAACAAAGTGTTTGTAAATAGGGGAGGGTAGAAGCAGTGAAGGGAGGGCAGGGGAATGGGAGAAAAATGAGAACAAAGACCTGTCATGTAAAGGTACAAGATCCCAATGGTGAATGTAACTGTACTGTACAGCTAAAATGTACCAATAAACTCAATAAAATTTAAAAAAAAACAAAAAAAAGAACTGGGAGAGGACATAAGCTCCTGGCCTCTAACCCATCCCCAGATGGGCACAGCTGGGGGTTCTGAGGTCCTCACCTGCACACACACTCCACACAGCGGACAGATGACAACAGCGGTGTACACTATCCTCTGTGCAGGTCACTCTCCCCTGTCAGGCTGCACACTGGTGACAACCAGATGTGCGTCCACAGAGAGGGAACTGTGATACTGACCCCAACAACCATGGAATCGAGGGTCTCCATCAGCATCTAAACAGAGGACAGGAGCTCCAGACCATGCCCAGCATCAGACTACTTTCCAGGAAGGGAACCAATCTGAGTGGTGTCGCTAGAAATTACTGTCACCTGACGAAGGCTCTACCATCACTGTGCAGCGACCACAGATGGGACACTCCATGCCTCCTGTGTCCACTCAGCTGGCTACACCATACCTGTCTGGATGAGGAGGAAAAAGTCCCCATGCTGGAAAGATGCACAGAGACAGCGGACCCCTCAGACTCTGAAACGGTGCACACTGTGTCAAAACACAGCAATCACTGCCGAAGACCTCGCAAGGAGATCACATTACAAAGCCAATGGAAAATAACTCAAGCATACACTACAGAATGACACCCCAAGACTTACTGCAGAGACAAAGCACCTCACTAAGAAGTCTGTCACGTGAGTGTAAGACATCCATCCCCACAGTTGTGCATGCCTCAGCTCTGGAGTCTAAGAACACAAGGCACAAGAAATACTAACCAAACAAGGTAATACGACACACCCTGGTAATACAACACTCCTAACCCTCTCATAACAGAGTCCAAAGATACTGAAGTCAATGAAATGCCAAACAAAGAATTCAAAAGAATGATTTTTAAGAGCTTAGTGAAATTTGAAAAAATACCAATAGTTGAATTAATTTAGAAAGATAATGGTAGAATGTGAATGAGAATATTTGAAAAAAGAAGCAAACAAATCTTAGATATGAAAAGCTCAATAAGCCAGATAAAGAACTGCAAAGCAGACTAGACAAAGCAAAAGAAAGAATATTAGAACTTGAAGACAAGACTTTTCAAATATTGCTTTTAGGCAGAAAGAAAAAAGTAGAATGAAGAGAATGCAAAATCTCTGACTGCTACTGACATATCAAACATCCAGCACACTGGCACCTCCAAGGAAAAAAGCTACACTTTGGAGGCATAGAAAACTGCACAATTCAGTAATAGCAGAAAATTTCCCAAATCTTCAGGAAAGCATGGTTATCTAGGTACAGGAGGCATTTAGACCTGACCAGAAAGGAAGCTTTCTACAATTTATTATAATTAAATTGTTAAAAATACAAGAACAAAGGAAGAATTCTGAAATCTACAAAAGAAAGAGCCAAGTCGTATTTAAAGGAAAATCCATTAGACTAACAGATTTCCTAGCAGAAACCCTCAGGCCAGGAAAGCATGGGATAATATATTTCAAGTACTTAGAATAAAAATTCCTCATAACAAAGATTGCTATTAAAGTAAACAGAAGGAGCTGTACACATATCCAATAAAATAGATAAATATACTTACTTTGCAATGCTAGCAACCAAACCCACAGTTACTGAGCCATACCCCCAGTCCCCAAAAATACACTTTAAGAAAAAATAAGTTAGAAGAGACAAACAAGCCACTATATCAATGGAACAATTCATCAAGACGATATAACAAGTATAAATGTGTGTACACCAAACAGAAAAGCAGACAACTTTATAAAACAAACACAACTAGACATAGTAGGAGAGACAGACCCCCATACAACAACACTGGATGACTTCAATACCCTATTCTCACCAACAGCTGGATGATTCAGGAAAACAAAACAACAGAAAGGAAGAATCATCAAATAGATCATTACACGATTTATCTTTCTCAAATAGATCACGCATGAGGCCACAAAGTAGGACTTAAAAAATTCCAAGAAACTTCTTCTCTCTTAATAATAAGACAAGACTAGAAATCAACAGCAAGAAAAGTTGCAAAAATTATACAAGCACGTGAAGATTTAATAGCAAGCAATTCTGCATAATGGGTAACAGACAAAGTTAGAGGTGAAATTTAAAAATGCCTTGAATCTAATGAGGATGGAAATAAAACATACCAAAATCTATGCAAAATAGCTATAATAGTGCTAAGGAACATGGCAGCAATGAGTACCTACATAAAAAATTAGAGATCTCAAATAACCTAATGGCACATCCCCAGGTCTTAGCAGAGTAAGAAAAAAATGCAATCAGAAGAAGGAAGAAAGACCAAAGCACAAATCAATGAAACAGTGACTAAATACCAATTCAAAGTATCAATACAATGAAGAGTTGGTTCCATGAAACATGCACAAAACTGACAAACCTTTAAACTCACCAAAAGATAGAAACAATACCAGTAAATAAATTACAGCTGAAAAATGAGATATTACATCTGATATCACAGAAATTCAAACAATTATTAGGAAATAGTTTAAACATCAGAAGATCTGCAAGAAATGGACAAGTTGCTGGGCACATACAACCTGAAGAGCCAAATTTGAGCCACAAGAATATAAAAGCGATAAGAAGATCAATAAAAAGTAATGAGATTGGATCAGTATTAAGTCTCCCAACAAACAAAAGCAAGGGGCCAGATGGCTTCAGTGCTGAATATTCCCAAAGAACACCAATGCTCCTCAAACTGTCACATAAGGAGGAAAGGGAAGGGAAGATGCCAAATTCATTCTACAAAGTCAGTATTACCCTGCTACCAAAGTGTGACAAGAAAACAACAAAATGAAGGCTGCAGACCAATATGTTTTTTATGAACATACATGCAAAAGGCCTCAGCAGTGTATCTGCAAATTAAATCCAACATCATATTCGAAAGATGATACACCATGATCAAACTGCTTTCATTCCACGGACTGAAAAATGGTTCAATATGTACATTTCAGTCAGTGTAAGACAGCACATAAATAGAATCATGGATAAAAATCACACATTCACCTCAATGGATACAGAAAATGCTTTCTATAAAATTCACTACTGCTTCATAATGAAATCCCTGAATAGATTAGGTATAGCAGAATCCGATCTCAGATAATAAAAGCAATGTATGACAAATCCATAGCCAACATCAGTCTGAATGATGGAAAACTGAAAGGATTTCCATTAATATGATGAGCAAAAATAGGATGTCCACTCTCACCACACTTCTTTTCAATATAATACTATAAGTTTTAGCCAGATCAAGTAATAGAAAGAAGTAAAAGTTACACAAACGGAAGAGAAAGAAATCAAGTTTTCCTGTAGTAAAGGGTATGATTCTGAACATAGACAATCCTAAAGAATCACAAAGATACTATTAGAACTGAAAAAAACAGTAAAGTTAAAGGATATAGAATCAGCACACTAAAATCAGTAGCTTTTCTATGAGCCAATAATGATTTCACAGTGAGAGAAATCAGGAAAGTAATCCCATTCCCAATAGCCAGAAAAAAAAACAAACAACAACAACAACAGCAAAACAACAAAAACCCTAGGAATAAACCTAACTAAGGAAGTGAAAGACCTCTGCAATGCAAATTACAAAATACCAAATAAAGAAATTGAAAAAGACAATAAGGTGGGAAAACTTCATGTATTGGAAGAATTAACATTATTAAAATGGCCACGCTAGCCATAGTAACAAAAACAGGACAGTATTAACACAAAAACAAACACATAAGCCAGTGAAACAGAAAGAGTGAGCATAGAAATAAATCCACACATCTTCAGCCAATTGATTCTTGTTTTAAAATATCTCATGTGTCTTTTTTCTTTTCTTTTCTTTTCTTTTTTTTTATACCCGGTACTGGGAATCACACTTGGGTCCTTGCACTTGGGAGGCAGGCATCAGAACCGCTGAGCTAAATCCCCGGCCCCATCAGCTAACTGACTCTTAACAGG